AAATAAACCGCTCAATTCGGTGGTTAGGATGTTTGTCTCACAATTCTGAAAATCTGGGTTCAAATCTCAAATCCGGCCCTTCTGTGTGGAGTTTGCAATGTTCACTTCGAGTTTTCTCCAACCTCCTTCCACATTCCAAAAACATGCATGTTGAGTTCACTGAAGACTCCAAATTGTTTTACATAAATGTAAAAGTACGTTTGTCTTGACTGAGATGCAGGGCGCACTCTGCACTGGTTGCCAGTCAATCATGGCGCATCAATTCATTTTCTATACCAAGGAGTACCCATTCAGTTTTGCTCAGCCCAAAGTGCATCTTGTTGGTCTGTCCTTATCTTGCATTTGTGGGGGTGTTGTAATGCAAAAAATGCTATTAATTTTTTTGAGAGCATCATGACATTTAAATATTGCTGTTCAAATGGGAAATTTGGGCGATGTGGGGCATGTGACCAATGAAAAACTGAATTTTCATCAGCCATTTGCGGTTGGAGTGTGCACGCGGGTTGCCTAAAATGCGGAAGTCTGTGCGCGTAGCTGTATGCGTCTATGTAGGTGCAAATATAGAAGATAGAGTAGAGCAAGACTCAGCTCCTTGGGCTGATCTGAATGAGCAGAGGGAATAAGTGCCATAAATACAGCCATCTTTGCAGGCCCCTGTCTCCCTGTTGTTTGTTTGGCGACCGCCTCCCACCATTGCCGGCTACTGTCGAAAGATGCTAACGGCTAGCCACGGAAAACAACAGTTCGAGCCATCCAAAGGCTGCACTACCACGGTCTTGTGTGGACTGCGGTGGGATGAAGCTCTGTGGCGAACTGGCTTCATGTGACAAGAGTGACTGAGAAAAAGAACAAGAGGTTCTGGGATGCCACCGTGTAACTGGCTGCGTCCGGCATTGTTTGGGGATGGTGGGTGGGGGGAGTGTCTGCAGGTGTTTAATGTAAATAAAAATGTTTTTAAAAATCCATCCATCTGTCTGACCTCTTTCTTTGCAAATATCCCACACTATAACGGGGAGACTCGCGGTCATTAACAGGACGCATCCCTGTATGTACAAATGTGTTTTTATGGCTAAATTTAGCTGTTGCTGGTTTTAATCAGGTGCGTTTTATAGTCCGGAAATTAGGGTACATATTCTCAATGACTCAGTGTGTTGTTGTTTAATGGGGATGGGTTCCAACTTTAAATTGGTGACAATCAGTCATGTAAGCATTATGAGCATAGTACCTTGTAATTCTTTTGGCACAGGACACCGTTCAAACCAGGATCACCATTGGAGGAAATGGTAGTTGTCAATACAAACTATCATCACTGCATTTCATCTCATGAAAAAAACAACACCAAACTGCTCTGCAACTTGGAACAGGCGCAGGGAAAAGCCTTTTGAAAGGCCTGTTAAGAGCTTTACGCATTTCTTTAATTACACCTCTCGCTTACCCTCGTTTTGATGGCAGCTATAAAAGCGGAGCACGCCAAAGACTCAGAGCACGGCGACTCTTGTAAAGCTAGGGCGAAGTGGCTCTTTGCCGTTTTAGCCTCACCTGCCCTGTCATTTTTTACTTGTATGTAAAAACATTAAACATTAACGGGCCGTGAAGGAGAGGGGAGTGTTTGTTTAATGGCTGCAACCTGTAGCAGGCCTCGTGGCAAATGACAGAGGATGAAAATCCCTCAAGAGTGCATTGGAAGATTTGATAAGCTTTTCAAATGTATCGGATGAGCAGACCAGGGGCCACTTACTTTTTATTTTCAAATTTACTGAAAATGAGACTGTTTTTTAATTTCTTTTAATATGTTTAACTGCTTCGCATATGTTTGACCAGCACCCTGAACTTGTTTTAGCATGTTTCACAAACACAAGGTTAAGTCTTCCCGACCCCCCTTTCGACCTACCATTTTTCTGTATTTGGTCCACCGTGGAAAACGTTTGGACATCCTTGGGGTAGACGGACGGATTGACAGACAGCACTTGCCTTTGTTCTTCCACTTGCAGCGCTTCTTGGAATGGGAAAATAAAAGCGACGGAGGTTAACCGGAGAGCAGACTCCCAAATTTAGCCGCTATGTTCTTGTGAGGGCCAGACTCTCCCCGACGACAAGCCCAGCTCTGACCGTGCCCTGTAATTGAGGAGAAAATAAGGACAGAAATTATATGTTTATTTTTGACAACAATTTTAATCTTCTGTGCTCGCCTTCACGAAAAAATGAGACGCCCACAAGAAGGAGATGAGAATCTGTCTTTCTGACTCAAAGTGGAGAGTTTTTTCTTTCTTTTTTTTTTTTTTGTCAGTTTGCTTGACCAACGAATGAAATAAGGCAAACAAACATAGCTTCTCAGCTGGGAAAATAACAATATGCTTGTATGCATGTCCTCACTTCAAACACATTAAATGAACAACAAGAACTTTAATGGAAAATAAAAAACATGCAGAATGCGACTTAGTTTTGAGAGCATACTTTAATGGATGGTGACGAAATATACCAAGTATGCTTTGTTCTCTACCCAAACACATTTGAGACTGAATACCAAATGTGTCAAACTGAAGGCCGTATCTTTTTTTTGTTGCACAGCAAAGCAAATAAAGTCTATCCACATCATGGTTCTTGTTAATGGATTCACTCTTTTCATTCTGGTAAAAAAAAAAAAAAAAACAAACAAACAAAAGCCCAATTTTTTTTCACGTTTTACAGACATTTTTTTTTCTTCACCAAATCCCTTCTTAACATTTGGTTATCCTGAGAGTATTCCTTTGATCTCAGATTTCAAATGTAATTTCTTGCTAAAAATATATAAGAATGACTTGCATATAAATGCAATAACATCATGGAGTGCTACATGTATGTAATTCTCAGATAATGGCTCATTCGGGGAAACCATGACTACAATGTGGCCTGCGATGAAAATGAGTTTGACACCTTATTTTGACCACCACTGAAAAAACTAACTTATTTATTTTCTGTGTCTTTTTACATGCTTTTTTTGTTTTGTTTTTATATTTAATTGTGAACTGTCATTGTTCCATGTTGTTCCAGACGGCCATGGGCAAAGTTGTAGATATCCTGTGGTAATTCTATGTATTTTAGTGGCCCCAAACATGACCCCTAGAAAGAAAATCACTCAGTCGCATCCCCTAAAAAGTAAGAAAAAATATTAGCTGTTGACACAAAATTGGGAGGATGTGTCGAATGTAACACAATGCATGTTGAAGTTTCAAGGAGTCACATTTGACATTGAACAGGAAATAAGCCATTTGGATTTATTTTTATTCATTTTGGGCAAATCCAAGGACTTCCAACTAAAAGATATTCACCCAAATGAGCCCCAATCAGAAGCAAGAACACTAGATAGATTGGTGACACTACATTACCAAGCTTTTTCAATTCCATCTTGTGTGGATGGAGTTTGAGGTCCAAGTTAGATGATCTTTTCGAGCATTCACCGTGAAAAAAAAGGAGTGGGCGCCCATCGACTTTCAGTCTCTTCCAGTGTTTACATTCTCAAAGGATTAGTTCAACAGCATTCCTAGAAAATCACAATGTCCCATTGCTGGTCACCTTTTATTAGACAGGCCCGCAGGCTACTCATGTGGTCTTTGGGGGCTACCTGCTGCCCGGGGGCAAAACCCATTGGTGACCCCTGCTCTAAGAGGATGCACAAGAACTCATGCCTGATATTTTGGTTTGAAGCAGTCATTTATGCCAAAGTTCTGGGCTCGTACTCGGAGACAGATCGATGAGTGTAAAGAAATTTTTTTTGGTCTTGTTTTTTTGTATAATCATGATTCACCATGGGACAGGAAGGCCCATTGATCACTGTTTGATGCCTGAATGTATATTTCCTAACTGTTCCATTTGTGAAACAAGTCCAAGCAACAACAGCCTGATAAGCTGCACACAGGCTGCCTGGGGAAGTGAGCAAACTATTCTTTATCAACAATGCCAGAGAGAAATTTCCATGAGCTGCAGATTCAGCTTTACAACTGTTCATTAGTCATTTGTTCCCTTTTTTCATCAGTCACCCCCCCCCACCTTATAAATGGGGTTTATGTGATGTGATCATCTCCTTCTTATTTTAACGACTTGATCTTGTTTTTCCTTGCCTGTCTTTGCCGCTCAGTCGACGCTCATATCAAAGCATTGGAAATAGAGAAAACACTTGAAACAAGAATGATAAAATCTACAGACTTGAAGCCACAAGCTCAGGCCGTGGAGTGTTTTTGTGTATGAACTATTGTCAAACACTATATAAATACATATACACACACACACACACACACGCACACACATGTAAGTGTGTGTGTGTGTGTGTGTGTGTGTGTGCGTATGTGTGTGTGTGTGTGTGTGTGTGTGTGTGGACCTCTATGAATTTGTCCGCGTTTGGAAACCAAAGCGTTACTGTATGTCCATATGGTGCTTGATATGAATTTCAAAATGTGACTCGAGAAGAAGGGTTCCGGCTACGACGAGATTGACGGTGTAAATTGGAGTGTGAGGCTTTTTTTTTCGGGGGAGGTTGGAGACACCAGGGAGCAGGAAAACTCCCAAATGTCTCGCTGGAAAAATTTGTGACTAAGCGAGGCTGCCACCAAAGTCAAAGGAAGTTTGCTTTTCTGTGTGTGTGTGTGTGTGTGTGTGTGTGTGTGTGTGTGTGTGTGTGGGTATGTGTGTGAGCCTTAGTGATCTTTTGTGATTTTTCCACTCCACTATTTTTCTGCTCCCCTGCAGTGAAATGTCTCCAAACAACAGTCATTCATCTTAATGGGGAAAATTGTGCTAGATAATACAAGGTAAAGGACCCTTCCGACTATCTACTGAAATGGATGTCCACGTGGTGATTGATGAGCAGCTCATTCATGCGTCTGTGTTTGGGAAGGCGGGATTGTGCACTCGCATCCACCAATCCGCGTCCATTACCCTTCATCCCCTACCCCGAGCTCTGCCTCTTGCATGAGAGTCCCAAGCCTGTAATTAGGGGGGCCGGGCTCCCAGAGACTCAAAACACTTCCACGCGTTGCTGCCTAACTTCTTCCAAACTGTCCCGGGACTCTGAGTTGCGCTTCTCCCGCTGCCCCTCCAGCTTGCTCTCGGATTTTGTTTCTCAGGGATGGCCGCATCTATTCTGGAGGTAGGAAATCTCATTGTAAGTATGGAGCGCCTTTTTGTCCCTTTTCAATTTGATGTCAATGTTGCTGATAGTTTAAAGGAAGTGAAGTGCTTCCATGTTCTTTTCATTACTACTCTCAGCTGCAGTCGAAAGCGATTTATTGTAATGGGGATTAACAGCATGATACATAAGAGAGAATTCTTACTATACTTTCGAGGAGTACACAAAATAGTGGGGAAAGTCTGGTTTTGTAGAATCACAATATCAAACAACCCAATATATTTTCGGTATGTGCAAACTGTTTACAACATCAGGCAATGAGTTTGGGCTGAATGAGCAGTCGTCTGTGGTGCCTGTATATGAATAATAAACATGACATAAATATATGCTGAAGCTGCTGCGCATGAATAAATACAATATGATCAGAAGTGAATATGAACAGCTACAAAAATAGTCATCAGCGTTGTACATCGGGAAAAGAAAACTAAACATCTATCAATAGACTGTCTATAAGAACTTGAGAATGAAATAAACACCAGCAATGTAACACTACTCATGGAGAAGTGAATGTGAACAACAGCAAGAATAGTCAACAGCGTTGTACCTAGCTAAAAACTATACATGTATCCCCAAGTCTAAACAGCAGGCATGTTAAACTTTATTCAGAGAAGTGAATATGAATGGCAACAAAAGTAGTAAGCAGTGTCGTATGTAGCAAAATAAATAAACGTCGTCCATTTAAATAAGTCTATAAGAATTTGAGAGTGACATTAACACGAACAGATACTGGTGTTAATGACTTACGGAAATGTGAACGTGGACAGCAACAAGAATAGTCAGCAGCACTGTGTGTAACAAAAATTATATATTTGTATCAATAAATACCTGGTCTTTATATCAGAAGTTGAGAGTAAAATTAACACCAGCAGTATTACACAATACTATATTTGGAGAGCTGAATGCATAAAGCAGCAAGACTAGTCAGCAGCATCAGCGGCATTGTATACGGCAGGGCTGATCTTATTCCTTATTTAATTATTCAAAACCACACATTCCATTTTATTGCAAAACAAACACATAGTTTTACTCCAAAATTGCAACAACAACAAAAGAAAAACAAATGAACCAACAAAACTAAAGGTGCAGCGTGTGACCTCCACAAGCACAAACATGTGCCGCCTGCCATAGCCTTGAGCACTTTGCAAGCACAGGAAGAGCCAGCGGTGGCGTCAGGACATGCGTTTTCTATTAGAGTTGACAGTGACAGAAGCTGCACGAGTCAGACACACAGTCTCATGTTGTTCCTCCTCCCCAGGAAGACGCGCGCTATGGCTCCAGTCCTCTGGCTATGTTAACTGCTACCTGTAACAAGTTTGGCAGCACCAGCCCAGTGAGGGACTCTGCGACACCCGGTAAGAACGGCGGCACTACTCCACTAAAGAAGCCCTACAACATGACCTCCGACCTTCAGACGGCCAAGAACGGACGCACCGCCGACGGCAGCAGCCTGGCGGACTCCTACAGCGGCTCCTTCACCACAGCCGGAGGCGGCGGACTGCTCACCCCGACCGGAAGCCCCCCTCCTACGACAGGAGGCTACGCGACCGATTACAATCCTTTCTCACACTCGTTCCAAACGTCCGTCTCCCAGGACCCGTCCCTGTTAGTGTCCAAAACCCACACGACGGCCGACTGCCTCACCAGCGTCTACACCTCGTTGGACATGACGCACTCTTACGGCTCGTGGTACAAAGCCGGCATCCATCCTGGTATTACGGCCGCCCCGGCTAACGCCACGTCCTCTTGGTGGGATGTCCATCCCAACTCCAGCTGGCTGTCTTCGACCCAGCCTCAGTCCGACGGAGGTCTCCAGGCCTCTCTGCAGCATGTGGCGCCGCAGGCTTCCCTTAGCCCACAGCTGCCTAGTTACGGCACCGATTTTACCACCTTGAACCCGGCTCCCTACCCTTCTGTGGGACTGGGCTCATCCTCACATCTCCTCCAGCCGTCCCAGCACATGCTGCCCCAGGACATGTACAAGCCCAAGCCAGTGCAAAGTGCAGGGATAATGGAGAGTCCGATGGGCTTAAAGCCAGCGAGGGGCTCAGGGGGCTACGGCACAGGTTCGACTCCCACAAGGTCCTCGTGCGACTGCCCCAACTGCCAGGAGCTGGAGCGACTGGGGGCCTCAGCCGCATCCCTCAGGAAGAAGCCGGTGCACAGCTGCCACATCCCTGGCTGCGGGAAGGTGTACGGCAAGGCATCCCACCTCAAGGCCCACCTGCGGTGGCACACCGGCGAGAGGCCCTTCGTGTGCAACTGGCTGTTCTGCGGCAAACGCTTCACCCGCTCAGATGAACTGGAACGCCACGTGCGCACCCACACGCGGGAGAAGAAATTCACCTGCTTGCTGTGTAACAAGCGCTTCACACGTAGCGACCACCTCTCCAAGCACCAGAAGACTCATGCCGACTCAGCGCTGCAGGGGAAAACCGCGGGCTCCGAGGGTGACGTGGACCACCGGAGCGAGGAGACAGCCGAGATCAACGCTGGCAACGGTGAGCCAATCGTCAATGGAGACGAGAAGACAGGGGTGCCTACCGGCGTGGAGAACAGCAGTGGGCTTTTGGAGATCTGAATCCTTGACTTCATCCAGCTCTTTTTTTTTTTTTTTTTTTTTTTTTTTTTTTTTTTTTTTGCGGGCGTTTTTTTTTTCTCTTTTTATATTTCTCGTCAGTTCAAACCAGCAAATCCGTAGTCGCACAGGACAGTGAGAAAAAGACTTTTGACTTGCTAGCCCCTTCTTAAAGAGACAAAAGTCGCCTGAATATTGCTGGGTTATTAATGTTGCCACATGGCTCAGGTTGAACATCATTGGCTTTTTTTTTTTTTTTAACATTCCAAAGACATCAATGCAATAAATCACTGCGCACTGGCAGGCCGTGCATTTGGTACCTGGGCCTTCAGTGGGGACTCACCCAACTTAATCTGCCTCTTAATACCACCGCTATCATGTAGCAGTTATGGAACCAATCAACACTCTCAAGAAATCAAGTCACACTGCGCCATGTACATCATTTGGAACAGTTCCGAATCAATATTTCTCTACTAATATGACATATAAAACACATCATCCTCACCAGAGAGGCTGATAATTACGCTATGATATAATACGCTAAGATTGCCATAGACGTGATTTCCTTCTCAAGGTTTTGCTCCTACCAAACAGTCAAAGAACGGAAAAATGCTAGTGCTCATCATGGGTCAGCGTGCTGGCCTTGCGAGGATGACTTTGATATCCGATAAAGAAACAGACTCACTGCCCTTATAGTGAGGTTAGTTACATCGCCGAGCACTACGGACTCTAAACGGCCTGTGCAGATTAGGTTGATGTGGTGACACATCAACGTTGAAATCTGATTGGATTAAAAATCAATAAATAAATACAAAAACAAAATAAAAAACATTTACCGGAACATCCATATGCGTGTACTGGAAGTAGTGCAGAATATAGTTTGTAAATGTAGGTCAAGGCTTCTGATAGCGTATCAGCCTTGAATGCCTAACAATCACCAATCATTTTATTTCCTCTTGTCTGGACCGTAACCAAGCATCTCCATGTAAATACAAGCAAGCCTTATGAGCAAACAGTTGGATCAACACACAGACAACCAAAAAGCACGCACACAACAGAACAATGAAGGCTCGCACGTACGTCCGCGTTTCTGAAGCCAGCGTGTATTTTTTTTTTCTTTTTTTGCCTTTCAAATGAACGCAACCACTGGGGAAATTGAATCTGCACAGGCAGAGGGAAAAGCAGCTCTGAAGCCACAAGACGAATCGTTTCAGAGCGAGACATTTTGGTTAAGACGGCGGCGGCCTTTTGACGGAGCCTTCCGCAGAGATCTGATTCGCAGCTGTACTTTGATACTTCAGTCATCGCTCTTCTTGAAACAATCAACGCGCAGCGGGACTTAACGCTCCTCGTTACCAAAACCCGCGTTGTCATGTCAATGGGCTTTTGTCGTGCTTCCTAGCGTGTGTAAGTTAAATTCCTATATACATGAAAAATCTAATTTATGTCTTAAATTATAAACATTGCCGGTTGTCTTGCACCTTGCGGGGAAATGTAACGCCGGCGAGGATTGCAAGATGAATTGAAGCCAGCTCAATATAAAATAAAATTCCTTAATTTAAGACTATTTATTAGCTATAACTAGGAAGTTGAAGATTTATTTAAAGATCTTGACAATGACTATTTCTATGTATGTATTCTTTGTATTGTGAAGTCTTCCACACACATGATGAACTAAGGGCTACATACTATATATTTACAACAATATATAGATGTTTTAAGTGTCTTTATTATATTTTCTGTTTTGATGTTAGTTTTTTTTTTGGTTTTTTGAAACTGTAACCTTCCTAATGAAGCCTTGTGCTTCGGTCAGAAGAAAAGTGAGCCCTGCTTGCTTTTTTTGGGGATGTGAAATAAGAAAATATTGTAAATAGTGAAGGGCATGTATGCTATACATGTAAGAGTCCTGGTGTGTGACAATTTTGGTGCTTAAAAAAAAAAAGTAAAGATATTTGAAAACATTTTTCTTGCATCCTTACAAAAGATTTTACTTCCTATCTTGTTTCCACTTCAACTGCTTTCATTGTCCTTTGTAGAACAAACAAAGCACACAGGTGAGATTTGAGCACCACACAATGACTTACACTGTGGTGAACAACAATTGCACCTCTCAGAAGATTAAGAGCCGTAATTATCAGCCAGTATAAAAAAAAAAAAAAAACAGAAGGTAGGGAGGATTAGGAATGAGGGCAAGTGGTTGCATTGTTTGGGTGCTCAAACAAAAGTAGCAATTACTGTAGACCGAGATGCGGGATGACAGACCTAATGTGGAAATGCGAGTGAAGCCAGGATAATGTGTTACGGGCTGTCAAATAAATAAATACATCAATAAAAATCTATCATTTGACCCCACGAAGCTACTGTAGCTGCGCCAGTCTTAAAGTCATCACAGGTCCACTTTCCCGTCCGGATAGTAAAAAAGCTTGAGGTGGGCAGAGCTGGGCGTTTTAATAGCGATAACCCCAGGAGTGATTTAATGAGATCTGCATATCCAAAATAGTTATCTGGAATTACACTGCGTTTCGGAATGCCCAATTAAGCGACTAAATACATTTAGTTAACTGGCTATTTACGTGTATTCTCATGTGACACAGATTCAATATCACTGAGTTGATATTCACATAAGCTGTGATAAATAAATCATATTCAATTACGTTCTATATAGTTTAGTTGGCCAGGACCATTTTGAAGAAGAACCCTTATTTAATGGTCTGTGGGCTATTTTTGTACCATATTTAAGGGCTATACAGTACGTAAGGTTAGAGTTTCAATTTGAGCTTTATGAAAGCTCTGGGTTTTTTTGGGTTTTTTTTTTTTTTTTTTTTTTAGTAGAATAGAGCGTAGTGTAGTGGTTAGGATGCCTGTCTCACATTTGAGAGGTTTTGGGTTTGAATCTGTGTTACTACGCTAACGCAAAAGTAAAGTCATAATTAGAGTAAATATTAGAATGAAAATCTTTTTCAGGCCATAAATATGAAACATTTGTTGGGAACATCCAAAACCGAAGACCCCTGTACAAGCGCAGGCACTTGTAAGGCCTTCGTGGATGACCTATAGCACCTACTGGTTGAAATTGTCTGGGATCTGCAAATTCAAAGGATGTTTAAAACACAAGAAGTACTTTTCAAACAAAACATTCTTGTCGATTAATGATAAACTATGACATGGTCCATGAGGGTAACAGAGCTCTGTCATAAACAGGCTGTTTTGAGGGCTTGGGTGTGCTTCATGTCCATAAAATTGCAACTCAGTTTTGATGTGATCTATCAACGTATTTTGATGACGCTAGCTTGCATTGAGCAGATATATCCAATCTGTGCTTTTACACTGCGCTTGCATTGCCAGATTTTACGATTCATATCTGATTATCATCCACTTTTGGGTAAGACCTGGTTCCAATCTGCAAAAGTCAATACCCCGTCTCATTACATGAAAAATGCTGTTTTTAGCATTTAGCCTACTAGTATGTTCAAACGTACTTGCAAATGAACATATTTGCCAGTCAGAAAGGTTGACTCCATATTGGCAGTTCCACGCTTCTGTACATTTGCAATCATAGAAGCCAAAATAAATGAAAAAATAAATAAATAGTCAGGCTTGGAACTGTGTCATTTGAACACCGTAGTGTAAAATTAGCCTTTCCGAGCTTTGCAGTTCACAGGTCAGAGGCCAAATGGACAAAATCAATCACCCGCTGCTTTTACTAATGTATTTTTGATTCTGTTGCAATAGGAAACATTTGAATTTTCCTTTTACAGTGAACCCCCGCCAGAAGCCGCCGATTTGCCTGTTGTAACATTTACACTTAGCAGACTGTATGGTTCCAATTTGGGGCTTCTAATGAGCTGTAGTTGAGGTCAATTTATATAAAACGTCCTGGGGCCAACTCTGTCATCAGGGAGTGCCGTGTTTATGATGGTCTGAAGTGGGTGCACGGTCGAGTCCGCAGAATAAAAAAAAATAAAAGGCAGGCGGGGGGCTGGGGCGGTTGCGGATGGCTTTGGCTTGGGCGTGTCAGGCCATTGAGGTAGGGAGAGTGGGGGTTTTGACAAGATGGTCAGCGCCGTGGGTATTTTCTGACATTTTTAAAACACACACGCTTCCCCTCGACAGTGGCGGTGGTGGCGGCTTGAGCTTTATTTTAACTTGTTTTATTTAAAACGGCCAGGAAACATTAAGTGTAAACCATAAGGAGGAAAATAATCACGCCGGGACACACAAAGGCAAAACCACAAGGTGGACAATCTTTCCACATGTTTGAGCCACAAGTTTACTTCCGCTCCATTTCATTTAAAAATAAAACAGACTTGTGAAGAAACTACCAATGCATTATGTCATTACATCCCAGAAACACCTGTTAAATGAATTCATGTTTATTTCCAAAGCACTCGTACCAACACTGATGAGTTGAGCCTTGACATTTAAAGACCTACCTAATAACAAAATGGAGTTACCTGGGAAATGGCATGACAGGTCCAAATAATTGACTTTAAGAAGTTAATGCTGGTTATCATGAACATGTTTCTTGAATTGATGTGACTTTATTATAAACAGTGATGTTCTTGTGTTGTATATTCTTTCGTAATTTTAGTAAATGACTTTTCCTTACTAGTTCTTCACTTTGCTTGCAAATGTCTTCAATTCTTCAGTTTTTAAATTTCTTAAAGTATTTTTCCATTAAATGCCATATTTTACCTGTAAATGTTTCGAACAGTGTGAAGCATATTGAGTTATCTTGTGTATGAAATGTGCTATTTAATGAAGTTGCCTTGCCTTGCCCATATAACTGGGTAATTGCACAGGATAACCAGTCCAAAACACTTTTACAACATTTTGTAGATGCCATAACTGTTGTCACTATTGTTTTTATGTCTGTGCTGATTCTGTTCTCATTTTTCTCCCTCACACCTGTTTTTTTCTCCAGTTTTCATATTTTAACAACAATAATAATAATAATAATAATAATAATCGGCTAAATAGTCATATATTTTGTAATAATTATGAATTTAGTAATAATTATGAATTAAGCATTTGGTTCAGCAA